AGTTATGGGGGCATGAAGGTACACCCGATCAAGGTCCCATGGTTCCGTCATCTTGGGCATATCATGGGTTCAGTATACCAACACTAACAACCATTGATTACAGTGTCTAGAGAATCTGATTAGTAGCTATGGATTTCCTCCTCTCAAGGATCCTGAGTATACTAAAGTAGAGATATGCGAATTTTAGTTTGATTTAATTTATGTTGGTGCTTATGGCTTCCTTAGAAGTTGCATATTAATTTTTTTAGTTTGAGGCTTACGACTCCAATCAAGAGTTGCCCGTGTGATTTGATTTTTGTAGGGGTTTATGACTTCCTTAGAAGTTGCCCATTAATTTATTTAGTTTGGGGCTTACGACTACAATTAGGAGTTACATGTGTGACTTAATTTGGGTAGGGGCTTATGACTTCCTTAGAAGTCGCCTAACAATTTTATTGTTGGATAGGTCTTATGGCGTCATTAGAAGCTACCTAACGATGGGTCTTAGGGCATAGCCCTGTAACCTAAGTGACTCGAAGGATGGAGCTTACAACCTGACCCTATAGACCAAGATGCCCATGTTAGAAGTCTAGGGTTATGTTATTACCTAAACCTTTTTCCTTAGAGGTTGGACTTACGGCTTCTATTAAAAGTGCCCATTCCGGTTAGTCTTACAACTTAGTTCTTATAAACCAGGCTGGCTATTGTGGTTTGAATTTTAAATCTATGGTCAATCACTTGGAGGTTCCATAATAAATTGGTCTTACTACTTCGATTAGAAATTTCTTAAATGACTGGTCTTACAACTTAGTCCTATAGGCTAAGATGCTCAGTTGATTTTGAGTTTTTGGTATAGGGTCATTCACTTAAAAGTTCCCTAACACATGGGTCTTATTGCATCACTTAAAAGTAGCCCAAATGATGGGTCTTACAATTCAGTCCTATAAGCTAAGATGCCCATTAAGGGGTCTATGGTTAGGTTGCTTCCAAGCTATTACCCCAAAAGATTGGACTTACGGCTTTCATTTGAAAGTAGCCAAGGGAATTTTTGGAATTTATTGCTTCACTAAATAAATATATATTTATTGAAAGAATTGCTGATAAGGTTTACTACTTCTATGAGAAGTAACCTACAGGACTTAGCTTAGTGAGATGTAGCTTTACACACTTTCCCATCTCGACATCATTTTTAGTTTTAGTGTCTCGTAGCAGTTCTACTACGGTAGTCTACTACTCTACTTATTTTCCACCACTGTTGCTTTTACTAGTTATAGTTAGATTTACTTTTTTTTTTCAACTTTAATCTGATCTTATTTAATGATGTGCTGACTTTTGTGCTCAAATAGAACTATATTTCATAACAACAACAACAACAATCAAGCCTTTATCCCACTACGTGGGGTCGGCTACATGAATCTGTATTATATCCATTTTTATAAGTGATGAGATGCTCATTCCTTTTCTTAAATAAAGTATTAACAATTAAAAAATCATAAGCATTCATGGTGGCCATGGATTCGGAACGACGAATGAAGGTGGCAAGACCATATTTCATATGAAATTAAAAATGCAGTTAATTTGCTAAATGGAGGAGCAAATAATATTTCAAGTTTCTGACTCAAAGAAGGCATATAGAACTCATATATGCCAATTATGTATGAATGGGAAATTCATCAACGTTCAGATCATATGCCAAGCTTTCAACCCCAATATGCGTTTGTAATTTATATGTTTCATCCATGAATATTAATAACTTAGTAAAAGACATGCATATTGAGATGAAAAAAAGAATTTGGCGAGCTTGGGCTCGTTGGATTCGTCTCGTCGAGCCGCTTGATTCGATTATAAACATGACACGTTTGGAAACCTTTTGGTAATCCAAATTATTGTTTGAACCTTCCAAATGCACTTTGGGTCTTCAATTTGGATCTATTTGAACTCGGATTAAGTTGAATTTGATGTCGTTGGGTTCGTATTTCTAAGACGTTCAGTTCGACTATAAGTTTGTCGAAATCGGAGTTCAAATGCTCTTTGATTTAAATTTTGAAGTTTCTAACTTATTTTTTACTTTGAGATTCGTGCCCTATATATATATATATTAGTATTGAAAGCCTCACCCTTTTTGCTCTCGCCCCTTTCGCTCTGCTAGGGCTTTTGCCCTATCTGCTCTTCTGACATGGTGTGGATGTTCCGCCTCTCTCCGGCCGTCTTCCATCTGCTTGTTTTAGGGAAGTTGTCTTTCCTTTCCTATTTACGCCTTGGTTTTTATCGTTCAGTTTCTTCGGGTTGTCCTCTGCCGGCCTTTTTTGGCTGGCATGGCGGCCCGGTGAGTTGCTATCCGGATTTCTTGAATGTTTCCTTTAAATCTCGGTCATCTGCTGAAGCTCTTTCAAGTTCATCCTCATCAGAGTGTTTCCCCGAACTTCGGCAGGGCTCTTTTCGTGGTTTACCTTCATTATGGATTTCTGAGAAGAAAATAAATTCTCTGGCATTGCCTTTTCAATTTGCTTTGGTCAACTTTTTCCTCACTTGTCGTCCCTCTCTCAACACGATTAAAAAAAAAATTCTCTTAGAAACTTATTTTCGAGTTCTCTGTTATGGTGCTTGATCAGAGGCATGTGCTGGTTAAACTCACTAATGACCTAGATTATAGCCGTGTGTTTTTCCATCGTTCTTATCTAGTGAATAATTGTTTTATGAAGTTCACTAAATGGTCTCCGCTCCTTGACATTGGCTGTGAATCTCCGATAATTCTGATATGGGTTTCCTTTCCAAATCTGAGACCTCACCTTTACTCCCCCCGGATCCTTCATGCCTTAGGTTCTATATTTGGTAGACCCTTGAAGGTTGATTCTGCTACTTCGGTAGGTTCTCGTCCATCCCTAGCGCTTGTGTTGGTGGAGCCGGACATAACCAAAAATTACCCTTCCCAAATTTGGCTCGGGCCTAAGTTATCTGGGTATATTCAAAAGGTGCATTTTGAAAGTTTCCCTGATTTCTGTGTGTCTTATAAACGGCTGGGACATCTTTGCCGTCATTGTGATCTGTTTCCTATGTCTAATTCTTCTAATCTGTTGGCTGGAAATGTTAAGACTCTTGCTTTAGGTGTTTCTTCTATGGCAGTGTCTGAGGTGTTGGTTGGGGAGGATCTGAATCCTATGGTTAATCAGGAGTTAGATGAAGTTGTCTGTGAGGTGAAATATAGGGTTTTTCCTGACCCGCTTGCTGTTTCGATTATGGTAAACGTTGTTTGTGGCGATTCTAGTGAATGTAAGGAAGTTGACATTCTAGACAATGGGGGCATGGTTTCCATTACTGAGGGTGTTTTGTGCCCTCCCTCCTCTCTCCCTTCTCATGCTAGTGTTGGTGAGGAGGAAGTTATTTTTTTTATGTGGTCTTACTTCTGTCTGTGCTTGTTAATTCGTTGGGTGATTTGGCTTTGACTAATTTTGATGCCCCCACAGGCTCCACTCTTTTTTCTCCTGGTGTCCCTGCTGTGGTGGGGGGAGGGGATCCTTACGGTGTGAATTCTGTTGTTTCTCCTTTATCTAATGGTGGTGTGGAGTCTTCTGCGGCTATTGTTGGAGGTGATGTTGTTAGAAGTGATGTTAATTCTGGTGAAGGTATGATGGTTATTCCTAATTCTTTTATGGATGTGCTTGTGAACTAAATCAAGCCCCAAGCTTTGGTATATCATGTGGGAGATAATTCTAGGGTGGATATGAGGGTTCTTCTTCATTGGCTTCACTGTATGTCTGAATTTGAATATGATTCCTCTTCGGAGTATTGTGGAGGTTCTGATCCTAGACATGATTTTAAATTGGTTCGTGGCAGATCGGTTGTCTCTGTCGACTCTCGTGGAAGGTCTTGTGGCAGGGACTGGCGGGGTAGGTAGTTTTCAATGTTTGTTTCCCTCTTCACTCTCAGCTTGATTTTTTTGGTGATTCGTTCGAGTTTTTTGTTGGTCGTGGATGTGCTGGGCTATAATGTGACTGGGGCTCGTGTCTTCGTCGTCATGGCTCATGGCAACCTTTGGTGTTGGTCGCTTGCTCGGTTGGTTTGGCTAGTCGGTTGTCTTGAATTCTTCGCGTCTATCCTCCAAATTGGAGGATCTATACTTGGCTTTGAGGAAGCTAGAAGCCTCGACCAATTACTGAGCCTTTCAGATTGAGTTCTTATTGCATTTTCTTTTATTTTTTTATCACTAGCTACTACTTTTTTGGTTTAATATATTTTTAGTTTTGTTTAATATATATATATAATAAGATTTATTAAAACGGAAGCTAAAATACAAGGCATAATGGCAAAGAGAATCTCAGATCATATGCTCAGATTATGTAAATATAAGCCATACTAATTGGGATAATGTAAGGGTTATTGGGCATTATAAAATATTCAGCTAGTCATATCAATTTAGGAAGGCAATTCCAATGGTTCAGAAGCAATAACCTGACATGTATTGTCAGTTAAATGACGAAATGTTTTTTTTTTTGGGAAAAATTTGGGGCAGAGCCCATATATTAATCACCAAAGATTACAAGTAAGCAAAAACTATACCACCCAAAAGAAAAGAAAAATTGCAGATGAAGGGGACTCAGGAAAATAGATTTACATCAAAAGGCATCAAAGCCTAAGTCATGAAAGCAACCGCCTATAACCCATCAAAGCCAAGAAAGACACCGGTTGCTAGCCAAAACCGATAATGGCAGCCATCACAGTGCCTAGAAAACGCAGACCTGGTTGCCGAAAGACCATCCAAGGATGCATTGAAGATGTATATCTGACACATCATCGTCCCGCATCTGCAGTCATCCCACCAAAGTAGCATCTTGTAGGGTCTGAGGGATACACAATCAAAACTCCAAAAATTTGAGTAGCAGATTTGAAATTCCAAAAATTCAACCCAAGAATAACTCCCAGTAGCATCCAGCGTAAGGAGCGAAACAGTGGGGGAGCAAAAATATAAATGAATTGTATAAAGCCAACTTCCAGATAAAGGTCCAGCTAGCAAAAACCTCCAGTCAACCCAGAATTTCTTTAAAGTGATTTTTAAGCGAATCATAATGCCTCCAATTGCTAGCTTTAGCTTCAATGGCATGAATAATAACATTTTTAAGCTCAGAAGGGGATCTCCAAACAGAAGAAAACCGCCTATTGTTTCTTTCTCTCCACAGATGATACACCAAAATAGCCATAACAAAGTAACAGAAATTTCTATCAACCTTTGTGAAGTTACGGTAGCTCCCAAAGATATCAAACACTTGCATTAGGTTTGGCCTCAAGTAAAATTTAACCAAATCAGGGAAAAGGGCAGTGAGTAGTAAAAAGGAGTAATCACATTCAAAATAAACATGCGAGTGAGACTCCAAATTGCCCAGACAGAACGAGCAATTCGGGTTTAGTGGAATACCCCTCAAATTCAAAATGTCCGCCATCTTAAGTTTACGTTGAATAGCCATCCACGAGTAAGAGGCATACCACAAGGCATACCCTTTATGCCAAATGAACTTAAACCAAGGCACATCCTCTAAATTAGAGTGAAAAAGTTCAGAAAAGGTCCTGTTGTTAGGGCAAGACGTAACAGTCCGAGAATTCCAGGTCAATACAGGACCCTCCCTAACAATCAACAAATTGCTAATAATGCTCTTAATTGAAGCAGGAATATAATCCGGAAGATTCCAACCGTTAGACGAGATAAAATCCCCAACCCAAAGGTGAGAGATTCTAATAGAATCAGTCAGCTCAGCCACAGAGCCATTGTTGCACCAAGGGTCCCATAGGAATGAGAGATTGCTGTTATGATGTACCGAAAGAGAAACTACAGGTTTAATAGCAACAGCAGTTTTGCAAAACAACTTCCAAAATTTAGATGCAGTAATAGGGGAATGTTTCCAAGGGGAGTCATATTTCACCCTATACCACAAGCCAATTAAGGAGCCCAGATTATACATTCTAAAAATAAAGGGGCAGGCCATATTGTGATAGAGAGAATCAAAGGATGACAGCCCAAGACCACCTTTGCATTTAGGCATAGTAACCGATCTCCAAGAGATAAGATGCATTTTTTTATCTAAAGTATTCCCAAAGAAAAGAAATTTAGAACAGATTCTGGCTAAGAATTTGCAACAAGCTTTAGGTATAATAGCTCCTCTTATCCAATACGCAATGGTGCTGGCAATAGTGAATTTCAAATATTAAAGTCGACCTGCAAAAGAAAGAAATTTAACTTTCCAACCCTCAAGTAGAGTAGAAATTCTACTCAGTAGGGGTTGGAAGTGAGAAAACTTGAGGTTGTGGGAGGATATAGGAATCCCCAAATAAGTAAGGTTGCAGTCAATTTGAGAAATTCCCAGGATATTCGAGATTTGATGAGCCGCAAAGGAGTTCTTAAAACATATAATGCTGCTTTTTGAAGGATTTATGACAAGACCATAAGCCATAGAAAATTTTGTGAGAGCCTCCTTAAGGGACCTAGCATTATCCACCGTGGCTAAACCAAAAACCAAAAGATCATCAGCATACATAAGGTGTCTTGCCTTAAAATTCTTGTACTCCATCCCCAAAAAGGAATTGTGATCCATGCAATCCAAATAAGAGGAGAGTCCATCCATAACGATGCAGAATAAGAGAGGGGAAAGAGGGCAACCTTGCCTCAGTCCAGAAGATGATTTAAAGAGAGACAGAGTCGAAGGCTTTTTTAATGTCAAGCTTAGCACAAAAATAATTTTTATGACCTTTGAACTCCCTCAACAACTCCGAAGCAAGAATAATATTGTCAGTGGAACATCTCTTGGCGATAAAACCCGCTTGGCTTTCGTGAATGATAAAGGTAAGAATGCTTTTCATCCTATTTGTTAAAATCTTGGCCACAATTTTATAGAACACATTGCATAAGGAGATAGGCCGAAAATCATTGATGGAATTGGCATGAGAGCCCTTAGGAATAAGAATTATAGCTGTGGCTTTAGCACCTCTAGGCATCTGGCCAGTGGAGAAGAAGTGTTTAATAGCTCTGCATAAGATGAAACCAGAAATATGTCAAGTTTTTTGATAAAAGCCAAATGAGAAACCATCCGGACTAGGTGCTGAAGAAGGAACCCCATCAAATACAACTCTCTTTATCTCCTCATTCGAAACAGCCTGCACAAGACCCTCCAAGAGATGTGAAGGAACCGAATTACCAACAGGAAGGTAATGAGAATTTTCCAAAATAGGAGATGGAGCATTAAAAAGATTCTTAAAGTGATTGATAAGAGCATTGGCCATGTCATCATGAGAAGAAATTACCCCAGAAGGAGTAGAAAGCTCTTTAATCATATTTCTGTTCTTCCTAGATTTAATCTTGGCATACAGAAAACCAAGATCGTCCTCTCCTTGAGAAAGCCAGCAGGCTTTCGCCCTTTGCGAAATCCAAGAGGACCAAGCAGATTGAAAAAGAGCCAACTTGTCACTAGTATGTTTCAGATGGGTGTTTAAATCAACATTTAATGGATCCTTTTGAATGTTAGAAAGACAAGTAAGATGAGCATTCTTTAACTCCAGAATGCCGCTAGATATATAGTTAGAAGAATTCCAATTCTTTCCACGAATATCATTCTTGAGAGATCTCAAACAGTTATAAAAAACAGCAATTGGACTAGCATTAAATGGTCTATCAAAGGCTCTTAGAGTTAAATCCCAGAAATCATCAAACTTGGTCCAAAAATCCTTGAACATGAACCTGGAGGCAGATTTCTTGAAAAGAGAGGCATTAAGGATGAGAGGAGCATGATCTGAACCAGAGAAAGAGTCTACTTTATAAAATGCCGTTGGGAAGGTGTCCAGGAAAGAAGAATTAACCATCATTCTGTCCAATTTGATGTGAATAGGATCTTCACATCTTTGATTAAACCAAGTGAAAAATAACCCAACAGACGCAAGGTCTTGGACTCCAGCATCAAAAGCAAAATTATTAAGTTCTCCCAATCTATCATTAGACAAAGGAATACCTCCAGCGTTTTCACCATCAAACCTAAAACAGTTGAAGTCACCCATAATGATCCATGGGTTATTCAAATTAGAGGAAATGTTGAGAAGATCTCTCCATAATTCTTTCCTTTCATCAACAGTATTGGCAGCATAAACAACAGACATATAGAAAGGGGGTAAAGAACCAACCCCAACTAGCCCATGGATGAGTTGCAAAGACGAGAAGGACGGAATGAAAGACACATGATCAGCATCCCATTTAACCCAAATTCTACCCGGCGTAGAATGGTTAAAATTATCACAACGATTCTCATTCTCAAACAAGGATTGAGAGAGAGAACCAGGAGTCAGAAACAGAAGCGAGGTTAATCTTAGCTTCCAGAATACATAGCAGTTTAATGTTATGGACGGCAATGAGATCCTTGCAATACTTAACTTTGATGGGATTGTTAAATCCCCGGACATTCCAAGCAGCAATAGGAGGCATGGACATGGTCATTTGTGCGGTTTGGCCTTCTTGGCCGTCTTAGGTTTGGACTTCCCCTTCTTGGATGGGGACTTAGATTGAGTAGAAACCTTGGTAGATGTAGATGAAGAAGCCGGGGAGCCTTTAAGATTTGTCTGAGTTGTCGGAGGAGCTTTAGCAATATTTGAGGAGGATAAAATTTCCTCAAGCAATAACGGGTCCCCATCAGGATTTACAACCAAAATGGGCTCTTCAATAGGGTCATCCATAGGTAAAGAGCCAAAGCTGTTAGCAAGCATCACCTGAGGTGGCAAAAGATTAACATGGTTACTGAGAAACGTGGAGGACGTTGATGTTGTCTGTGGAAGGTTGAGATTAGGAAGAGGAGAAGTTGGTAGAGGCGGAGCAGACAGAGGTTGATCAGAACACTTAACAGGGGAACTTTCAGTGTCAAGAAGTTTCGGGGTATCAGCCATTCCAGAGGAAGACGGAAGTTCTGTATGGACAATGAAAGAAGAAAAAGAAATGCAAAAAAAAAAAAAACTCTCTAATGGGCACGTCGGCAAAGCAGCAACCGCAACACGTTGCCCCATGATCTCCTCCACGCAAAAACTGTCTCAATTCATATAAAACAAGAAAAAGAATGAATGCTTTTTTTTTATGCGAACGGATACTAACTGGTGCAAAAGCTTCGGCTCTACTTTTCCTTCGGTTTTCTCCCAAGCAAGAGAAGATCAATTGTTCGTCTGTGTCCGCCGGCAAGCCAAGGTTAATCGCAAGAAGCAAGAAACACGAATCCACATCAACAAACAAGCCACAATTCAATTCTTGCCTCCGATTGTTTCGAGCCTGACGTCCGGCCTCCGTTCGTTCGGCCCTGAGCAAGCCTCAAGCCAGCAAACACCCCCACCCGTAGGTCTCTGAGTCCCCCGCAACTTCCTGGCACACGTCCTCTCACCTCTTGAAACCACTTCTTCGTTTCAAATCATAAGGGATAGAAGAAGTTTATGCTAGTAAAATTAATAATAATTACTGTTGTAATTATTATTAATATTATCTATTATTATAACAATATATACATATATAACATTGTATGCAATAGTGATAAAAAAAGGGGCAAACAGCATATCGCAATCAACATTCAAGAGGTTCACAATCAGCAATCAAAGCAACGAAGGGCCCGTTTGATTTACCGTAATTTTTTTGTTTTCAGTTTGGAACCGTGAAAAATTTATCATTTAACTGTTTATTTACGCGAAGTTTTAAAACTATCGTTTGCCACACCGCCCTATTTTCGCCGATTTGAGAAGAATAAAAAATCGTCTTCTCCATTCTAACACCTCCGTTTAAAACCGAAAAAGAAAATCTGGTTGAAACCAAACGAGGCCGAAGACATATTCTGGGAACGGACAATATCTCGAAGACCTTGGCCGTTGATTCGCTTCGGCCGGTTGGACTTGAAATGGGCAAATGCCCTCCTTACCTCCCGGCACCAGGAAGAGGGCGCCAGGAGGCTGACAAAATTTCCTAAAAATTCGGGACAGCCAATTTTCCTAAATGCAAACTTCGACAATCTATAACAAGCAATCATCGCCAATCAAAAGCTTTTGAAGACCAATCTCCTCGCCGTTGATTCGCTCCGGTCGAGCCGAGTCACTCCTTACCTCCCGGCCCCGGGGAGGGGACGTCAGGAGACTGCAGAAATTTTTCTCAAAAATTTTGGACTTAGAAAAAAAAAAAATTGGACTTATACAGATTTTTGGAAAACATAAATTTCATTTGAAATTGATTACATTGAGCATGATTTAACTAATAAATAAAAATGATTAAATAATTAATTTGAAATCCAATTTAAATTCAATTAAAGATATAATCAACTTAAAAAACTTTAATCTGAATCTTTAATTGATTTAATAATTAATTAACTTAATAATTAATTAATGAATTTAATGAAATCTGAATCTATATAAAATTCATCTGATCGGACATTTCTAAACTTTAAAACTTAAATTATAATATTTAAAGTAATGTAAAACCTGAAGTCTAAACATAATTGATAATTAAATAACTAATTGAATTAATTAATTAACAAATTCTGTTAACTGCCAAAACAACTAATCCTAAAATCAATTAACTGAATACTAAATTCATTAACTATAACCAAACCAATCAAACGATTAAATCTTAAAAAAAAAAATTCAATTTCAGATAACTAAGTAAATTATTTAATATAAAAATACAAAATAAAAATAAAATACAATTAAGAAGCTTAATTAAAACTTCAAATTCTGAATTAAAGCTCAGTTAATTGAACTAATATAAAATTTTGAATCAAATTGATAAAAGTAAAAATCGTTAATTAAGCTAACAGTTAATTAGTTAATATAAAACATTTGAATTGACAAATTAAGCAAATAATCTAACTTAATATAATTAATTTTTGTAAAAATATATTTGAAATCCAACCTAATGAACCAATCAATTCAATTTTAAAACTTAAATTCAATTAAAAATATTTATTTGATTAATTCATCTAATTAATTAATGCAAATCAAAATAAAATAAATACATAAATAAATGTTTCCAATAATCCAATTCATGTACAAAATAAAAAAAAAAAAAAAAAAAAAAAACTCCCCAACAGCTCTCAAGGAGCTCCCCAAACAACCCAACAAAGAACTCTGAAGCTTTCAAAACAAAACTCACTCTCTGAGACTCTCAACAATGGCTCATGCACCTAACTCAAAGCTCTCTAATTTGCTGGCTACGTACCTGTAAACAAACAGGCAAAAGTCAGTGCATCAATAAATAATATTAAATTAATGGTGAAAGTAGCGAACTAACTATTGAATGTAAAACAAATCGCTAAAAATATAACAACAAACTATTGTAGTAAACTAAATTAAATAAACATTTAGGTAAATTCATGATCAAATCCCTATCCTCATCTTTTCAAACCAGAGATTTTGGGTTTGATCCCTAGCGGAGTCGCCAGAAAAACCTTGGTGGGAAAAATTTGTATCGCCACGTAGATTTTGATTTCTCCTATTTTATAATCAAATACTGCATTGAGAATAAAGTACAATATCGAGATATTGACACAATATTCTACAATGGATTCAATATCAAAATAGGATTAAAAAAAAAGATATTTCTATGATTAAACACAGTTCAAAAAATAACATATCATCTTAAAAAATGTACATGAAATTCTAGATAATGTGTTTAAAAATAGAAATAAGTTTTTTAAATTTTTTTAATTCTTTTATTTGGATATAAGAAGGAGAATATTATATCATCTTGAAAGACGAACATAATATTCTTCAAGACATCCAAAAACAAGAATGAGTTTTATAAAATTCATCATTTACAAAATTAGATATAACAAGCAAGATATTATATTGTCTAAAAAAGACAATAATAACATCATACAAGTATATTTAAAATTAGAAATGAAGTTTTAAAGACATCTACGTTCCCAATAATTTTTTGCATATTTTATATGACTAAAACAAGATTTATTTTAGTCTATGGTTCTCAAATCCCTATAGGGGCAAGTCCTTATAGTTAATTACATCCTAGGAGAGATGCTTCTAAGAAAACTCACAATTAAAATAGTGATTTCATATCCTTTGACTACAAAGTAAAAGACAAAGAACAAAAGTAAGGATTTTTCAAGAAAAAAGCTCAATGTTGAACATTTATTAATGAGTCAAAGGAGGAAAAATAGGTGCTGGATTCTGAGAAGCTCAAAGGCAACCTCAATTATCATATGTTGGACTTTATATTTTAGGAGAGAAATTTTATATTTAAGTTGGCATTTTATTAGAAATTTCAGATTATACTCGGAGGGTGAGAACTTAAGATTCAAAAAAATGTCTTAGAATCTAAATCTAATTTAAGCACTACAAAGTAGTAACCCGAACATAACTAATGAAGTACAAATCTGGACTTACCCCAGCCTAGATTGGGGAGCCAGCTAACTAGGCTCTTTAAAACCATGTGTCCAATCTCTTTATGATAGATGGGTAGGAACGTTGCTTAAGTTTTATGGAATTAGGGGCCGACATCTAAGATAGATCCTAATTGGCCCATCAACTTATGTAGGGTGAGTGATGCCTAGAAATAAAATGTAATTAATATTTTAGACTCTTTTTAATTTGTATATAATACAATGCATGTTATATGACTCGAATGCATAAAATGAATATGAAGCAATTTTAAAATTAGGCTTAGAAAATAGGTTTTTCCCTAGAGATTGCACAATATCCTTTTGACAGAACTACACCCTCATAGGCCAAGCGGTCTGCCAGAACCCGTAGGCGGGAAGGTGCCTAACAAGGAAGAGAAAGTAATAATATGCTTATGCTAACTCTCGATAGTCTCGAGCTCACTTCTTAGATCGTTAGAGTTATTATGTGAGCCTAAAGATTTTAGTATGATTTCAAATATAAAAATTTTATCATACCCTCACAAAAACTTAGATCGTATTCAGGCTAAAATAAAATATGACATGCAATAAAACCTAAAAAAATAGGCAATTCTACTATACAAGCAATGTAAACAATGAAATTAAATTATCCAAAATATAATGTTCAATGTCCATATGACAAGTGCCATTTTATTTACACCTAGAATTTGTTGAAAAAATAGAGTGGTCAGGCACCACTGACAACAAATCTAGATTCTAATCCTTTGAATGACGCAAGTGATGTTGAACAGGGATATACTCTTTCTTGTATCTTCATTTTTTCGTCTTTTCTTCTTCTATGAACTCCTTGGATCCGCTGGGTCTGGATATCCAAATGAAAAAGAAAACTCATTCCCGAAGGAGTATTTTCCTTTTCCTTTGGATATTACAAATCATCCTAACCTAGCTTTCCAAATAAATGGGAACACTGCCCAAAGGGTCGTTCTCTTTTCTTTGGATTCTAGGTTGGATGTGATATCCCATTTCTAAATTACTTTCACAATATTTGACTTTAATAAATTACATTTA